CAGGACCTTGTGCATGCTAAGCACTACCCTCTATCACTGAGCTATACTCTCCCCACTGTTTGACAAGAACTTGATTAGAAATGAGCTCCACTGGCACCAGGAATAAGCTGAGTTTGTGGCATGAGGAATGGTGGCTAGACAGTAAAAGAACTTCCTGCCAACATGAGGCAGCAGAGGAAAGTTCCTTCCAGGAAGAGAATCAGGACAGGGAGTTGACCTGAATAACCTCCTGATTAGGATGCCTGTGCACACTGCAGGTGCTAAGCCCCCAGAGCAGGCCCCCCCATCTCCACTTGGGGTGGGCTCAGGGCAGGACTCTGGGGTAGCTGTGGGGCGAGCAGCCAAGTACTCCGAGACGGACCTGGACACGGTGCCCCTGAGGTGCTACCGAGAGACCGACATCGATGAGGTGCTGGCTGAGCGGGAGGAGGCTGACTCGGCCATCGAGAGTCAGCCCAGCTCTGAGGGCCTGCCTGGCACTGCCCTTCCACCTGCCCCACATCCCAGCCCATGCCTTAGCCCTCGTCCCAGCCTGGGCAGTGGCAATGAGGATGAGGATGAGGCAGGTGGGGAAGAGGATGTGGACGACGAGGTGTTTGAGGCCTCAGAGGGGGCCCGGTGAGTGGGGAAGTGGGAGAAGAAAGAGATTTGTGCCTCCCCACTGGCCCAGAGCCAGAGCTGGGCTCAAAGGGACTGGAATAGAGACAAGGGTGGGGCTGGGTGTGTTAGGACCAAGCTGGTGGTGCTGACAGGGCAGTGTAGTAGGAGATTCTAAACACAGAGGCCTGAGGTCTGGCAGAATGTTGGGGTTGTGGGGTAGGAGAGCCATCAGCAAGAACCCAGGAGGGGAGGGACAGCCAGGATAGAGAAGGAAAGGGGTTCTAGTAAAGAACAGAGGGCAGAGTGAGAGGCCAGGGGCCAGGATCAAGCCTGGGGTCATGGAAGCATCAATCCAGATCCTGGATCCTGGTGAGAGAGCGGGGAGTGTAGGGGCTTTCCTCTCTGTCTCACACCCCTTTGCAGCTTGGAGCCTCATCTTCTTTTCCTAAGATGTTGCCAGAAATAGAAATGGGATGGCAGGAGGGGAGAAGATCAGAGAGAAGGAGGAGAAAGGGAGATTAGCAGGCAGTGAGAAAGGAAGGGGATTGAGTGCTGGGGATGGGTAGGGCTGGGGTGCTCCAAGGGCACTGAATAGTTTGATGAACCTGTGGTGGGGACCCCTTACCCAGGTGGCTTTTTTAGCGGGCTGGGGGACCTGTGAAAAGGGGCTGATAATCCCCTTCACAGAGTCAGTATGAAAGTTTGGTGAAATGCTACCTGAGAGCTGTCCTCTAGGTCCCTGATCAGAGATTCTCCCTGCTCCTGCAGGCCAGGCACCCGAATGCCTCACTCTGGGCCTCTCAAGTCTCCTTTGCCCTTTCTACCTGGGACCAGTCCCTCAGCTGATGGGCCCGACTCTTTCAGTTGTGTGTTTGAAGCCATCCTGGAATCACACCGGGCCAAGGGCACCTCCTACACCAGCCTCGCCTCGCTGGAGGCCCTGGCCTCACCTGGCCCAACCCAGAGCCCCTTCTTCACGTTTGAGCTGCCTCCCCAACCTCCTGCCCCAAGGCCTGACCCACCTGCTCCTGCCCCACTTGCCCCTCTTGAACCGGATTCTGGTACTAGCTCTGCTGCTGATGGGCCTTGGACACGGAGAAGGGAAGAAGAGGAGGCAGAGGCTGGAGCCAAGCAGGCCCCAAGGAGGGAGCCCCCTAGTCCTTGCCACTCAGAGGACAGCTTTGGGCTAGGGGCAGCACCCCTGGGCAGGTGAGTGATTCTTTGGTTCCTCAGACCTGAGGACCCTGGGGCCCCAGGAACAGCTGCTCCAAGGGACAGAGCCCAAATGTGAAGACGTAGTTTATATTCCTGACCCTTGATAGGGGTGGTTAGGGGATACAGATGTGTTTTTCCATTTGGAGGACTATTTCTATTGGCTGTGAGTGGAAGCCCCTCACAGCCTGCCCTCTTGGTCTGAGATCCATTAACTTGAGAAACCACGATTCAGGATTGAAGAGTCCATAAAGAACACCCTCCTTTTTCTCCAGAAGGGCCCTTCCTCCCCAGATAGAGCCTCTAACCTTCTTAGAATTCTTCTGGCCTTACTCCCACCCAGCCTAAAGGTTTTTCCGAAAGATGCAGTCACCAGCTTCTTCTATCGCCTCCCTCCCATGTCGCAACCCCATCCCCCTCCAATCGGGAGTCTCTCACCCTTCTCCAGGAAGTCCTTTCACCGGTCTAACCTTTCTGCTCTCCCCTCTGCCAACTACCCTCTCAGTCACTGAAGCCATGGAAACAGGAGGGGGTGGCCAGGGAAACGGGGTTGCCTAGCAACCAGGAGTTTCCGGCCTCTGTCACTGGGGTGACAGGTGGCTTTGCGAGTAGAGCAGCTGGGATGGGAAGGGAAGGGAGGAAGAGACCGGGGTTGAGGGGTGCACTCTTATCCCCAATCCCCTCTATCCCAGACCCTGCTTCTTTGTGGGTGGAAGAGAAGGACCCAGGAGGAGGATCCTTTCTCTAAAAGGCAGGAAGAGGAAAGAGATAGGAGCAGGAAAGTGCCCTTGCTCCCCTCATATCTTTGTTTGAGCCTCCACTGTTCCTTTCTAGCATTCTACCTATCCTATCTTTGCCCGTATTCTCAGAGACAGAGAACTATTTTCTGAGTAGGGCCAGTGTGGGGATGGGGAAATCTAAGTCTAATAGCAAACTTAGGGAGCTTTAGGAAGCAGCCAGAACTCCCACAGTAGCAAGATGGGTGTGGGTTAGATTTGAGGCAGGACTTCCTCAGATATGGTAATGATACTGTAGGCTGATGGAAAGAACCTGTATCATATCCTTCTCTGGAGAAAAAAAAAATGCCTTCCCCATGTCCCAATCTCCCCTTCTCTATCTACTGGGTCTGGAGCCAAAAGAAGGATATGGATGGCCCCCAAGGCCTTGCCCCACCACTGAGCTGCTATTCTACCCTGGCAGTGAACCACCCCTGAGCCAGCTGGTGTCCGACTCAGACTCAGAGCTGGACAGCACAGAGCGGCTGGCCCTGGGAAGCACAGACACCTTGTCCAATGGGCAGAAAGCAGACCTGGAGGCTGCGCAGCGCCTAGCTAAGAGGCTCTACCGACTAGATGGCTTCAGGAAGGCGGACGTGGCCCGGCACCTGGGCAAGAAGTAAAGGCACTGGGCTGGGATTGAGAATAGGGGGAGAGGGGTTGCACCCTGTGGGCAGCACCTCCACATCCCCTCTGTCTAATGCCCCCAGGTCTCTAGGTAACCCCCACCTGGCCCCTTGACACTTCCCCTTGAGACTCCACCTGTCTCTCTGCCCTGCCCACAGCAATGACTTCAGCAAACTTGTGGCTGGCGAGTACCTCAAGTTCTTTGTCTTCACGGGCATGACTCTGGACCAAGCTCTCAGGTGGGTGTCTAGCCCTTTGAGGGCAGCCCCCACTCTCCAGGCCTGGTGTAAAGGGCCTTAGTTATGCCTCCTCTGAGCCCCTGTGCCTCCCCTAAACTGCCTGGAAGTCACCCTTCCCAAGCTGGCTGGGCATGGCCAGGAGCCATGTCCCCTCTTCCCCCTCCCCAGGGTGTTTCTGAAGGAGCTGGCCTTAATGGGTGAGACTCAGGAACGGGAGCGCGTGCTGGCCCACTTCTCCCAGAGATACTTCCAGTGCAATCCCGGAGCCCTTTCTTCAGAGGGTGAGGAGGCCAGGGCAGGGCTTTCCCGGCTGCTCACTGAGGCAGATCAGCATTGCATCTGTGCATAGCAGCATAAGAGTGTGTGCAGGAGTGCATGAATGAATGAGTTTGTAGGCATGAGAGCATGCATGTAGGCAGTACTAGCATGGCTGCACAGATATGGAACTGTGCATGCAAACAGGCATAGTGCTAAGATCTAGCATGTGTTGTGAAGAGACAGGTGCAAGTGTTTGCATGCCATTGTTCACATACATGTGCAAGACAGTGCTTGGCTTGAGTAGGGATTCTATTTGGTCTGCACAGCTATATGGGGCCTACTTGCTTGTGTTTAATGCACAGACACAGAGGCATGTGGGTGTTGGGGCCACGTAGTGGGCAGTCCAGGACATTAGGGAGCTAGGCAGGGTGACCTGAGAAGGAGAAGTCCCTTCTGAGGGATCTGCTGAAAGAGAGAGGTCTTTGCTTAGGACAGATTGGCTAATGGGGTTCAGGACTTACAAAAGTGTGGCTGTGGGCCAAAGAGGGTCTTGAAAGAGGGCAGGGAATGAACCAGAAGGTTGGGGAAAATAGCTGTGGGAAGAGTCCCTGGGAGGTGGTCAAGGCTGAATGTCAACTCTCCTCTAGACGGTGCGCACACGCTGACCTGTGCCCTAATGCTACTCAACACGGATCTCCATGGCCACGTGAGTAGGGGGCTGGTGGGAGGGAGCCCAGAAAACAACCCGTCCAGAAACTTCAAGGCCTGGGAGGCACGCCTCCCCCCACCCCCCCAAGCTCACAGGCCTCTGTGCCCTTCCTTAGAACATTGGGAAGCGCATGACCTGTGGAGACTTCATTGGGAACCTGGAGGGCCTCAACGAAGGCGGCGACTTCCCCAGAGAGCTGCTAAAGGTGGGGGCGGGGCGGGGCAGGGAAGACGTTGCAGGAGGGGAGGGGCAGGGGATCGGCCTCCGAGGGAGGTGATATGAGGGGCCTCTCAGCTCCCAGCTGCTGTTGTGGGAGCCCAGGCTCCCATGACTCAGCCTGGGGACCGCCCCCTCCCCCAGCCCCCACAAGGCAGGCTCTCTCAGAACATGCGCACTTGTCCCGGCGCGCTCAGGGGGGAGGGGAGACTGCTCTCGAAAACACATGATTAGGTGGCCCCTGACCTTGCTTTTGCCTTCACTGTTGCCCGTACTCCAGTGTTCACTGAGGATGGGACGGGGCCCCTGCGGGGAGGAGGTGGGACGGGGACAGCTTCCCTCCTCCCACTCCAGCCCCACCCCAGGGTATATAGCCACAAAGGCCTTCCTGGTACTGCTGCACTGAAGGGACCCGGAGGTAGAGGTGCCTGAGAGGGACAAAGGCTTTTCCAAGGTCTTGAAGCGAGTTAGCGCCAAGCTGGGACTAGATAGCGCGCTTCAGACTCAGTAGGCAGGCCCCGTGGCCAGGCGCCAGAACCTGAGTGGTTAGCTACACTAGAGCTGGTAGGGATAGGAGGAGGAGGGGGCGTCCTGGACCGTGGCTTCACTCATCTCCCAGATCCCCAGATCGGGTGCTGTTTTATCTGGGAGGCCTGCACTCACTTGAAACCCCCAGAGTTGACAAAGGTTTCTCCGGACCATCACATACATGTAACTGCAAAGGAGTGTCCTGGGGCTTGCTGTAAGCTTGAGTGTTGAGCTTTTGACTTTGGGAATATATCTGAGTGGGGCCGTCCATCGTGAGCTGGGGGGGGCGTGGTCAATTAGTTGGGGTGTATGTTGAGTTAAACTGTATATGTATGATTTAGGGTGCCGGTGAGTCGAAGGGGTTTGTCTGACTTGGGGTGTATTTGTGCTTTAGGGCTTATGATTTAGAGTGTGCGTCTGAGTTGAGGTGTAGGTTGGGTGTTTGTGTGTGTTCGGGTGTATATCTACGAATTGGCAATCTGGTTTATGACATCTGTCCATGAGTACGGAATGTATGTTTGTGAGTTAAACACTAAAATTAGAGGTGTACCTCTGATTTTGTAGTGTCTGTGAGTTGGGATGAATGTGAACTGATGCATCTGGTTAGTTGAAGTGTATGTAAAGTGGGGTGTGTGAACGTGAGTTGGGGTAAACAGACAGATCTTTTAAGTATAGCGGGTCAGTGAGTTGGGTGATTCCACGGCTGCCTCCATCTCGCGCCCGCCGCTGTCTTTTGCCTCTTGGCCTCTCTGGGCTCTGTTAAAAAAAAAAAGAAAAGGGCCTGCGGGAGGCGTTCCGACCTCTTCCCTCACATCCCATAACCTCGACGAGCCAGGAGAGGGCTCCAGACCCTGCAGAGGCAGCCACCTTCACAGGCCCAGGCCTAGGCCCTCCCAGCGCAACCTCCCAGCACCCCAAGAGAAGCCCACCGGCCGCCAAGTGCCCCCGCGTCTCCCCGGCGCCTCCCTGTGGCGCCGCGCGGAGGGCCCTCCTCTCGGTCGGACGCCTCCATTTTTGCGCCGTCCCCC